ACGAGAGGTTCCGTGGCACGCTGCGCAACCAACAGATGGCAGAACGATCTTGGCACAGATATTTGGATGACGGCCTAGTTGTGTGGAACGGATGCGAATGTAGTTCACAGCACTTCCCGGACACCCTGAACACGCCATGCACCACACTTCTGGGCGCAAGCCGCTTCAACTACAAATTCGTTGCACCACGCGGTACGGCAACATTTCTTGACATGAGGTTCCAGAAGTCCGGCAGGTGGTGCGATACTGGCATGTTGGAGGCATCGCTCAACGAGAAGCCACGAAATCCACATGCATACATACCGTCGTCGAGTCACCATTCGTTGTCCCTGGCTTGGTCATGGCTTCGGCAAGAGGCGAAGAGGCGCCTCACGCACAACTCGGATCCAACGCGCGACTCACAAGATTTAGGTCGCTTCGGGACTAACATCATCTCGAGGGGGTATAGCGGGCAGTTCTGGAGACAAGCCACAGAAGGTCTCTCGCCTGAGTTGGGCATAAGCCTGCTTGGTCTGCACGCCCGCGTGGACACTGAACGTGCCCGCGCAGGGGCTCAGGCAAGATGCCTCACTTTGGTTTTGCCTTTCCCCGTGAGGCGAATCGACAAATCAAGAAAGTAATGACAATACCTGATGACATCATGCAGCACCTTGACACTCAAGGTTTCAGGTTTGCTCTGACAAATAGCCAGACTCTCCTTGAACACATACGTGGGCGGTAGGTTGGGGTATGTGGTGGACCCGCTAAAGTCGAAGCTCTCAGCCGACGAACACGTTACGACAGCTTTGGTGAATTTGCTGTAAAAGCATGTCTCTACATCATATGTTGAACATTACATAGCCATGTTTCTCTAGCAGTTGCCTGAAGACGCTGAGGCAGAAAGGCCTAGCGACTGCGTACCGCTTGCTGCAAGTACACATACATACAGTACATTTTCTCGCACATTTGTACCTTCGCTCGGGCTCCGAGCGCACTTTCATGCGGAATCCGAGGACTGCGCCACTTCTTTTTCTCCTTCCTCTTCTTCTTTGGGACGGACGCCACCGAGGCGGCGGCGTCTCGGGCAGTGGCCACTCGGGCGCGTGCCCTGCCACCGCCCCTGGGCCCGCTCTTTCCCGCCCCCTTCCGACTCACCATCATCATCATCATCATCATCATCATCATCATCATCATCATCATCAACAACATCAACATCAACATCATCATCACCACCACCATCATCACCACCACCACCATCATCATCATCATCATCATCATCATCATCATCGTCATCGTCATAAGCATCAGCATCATCATCGTCACCATCATCAGCATCATCATCATCATCGTCATCATCATCATCAGCAGCATCATCATCATCAACATCAGCATGAGCATCATCAGCATCAGCAGCAGCCGCAGCAGCAGCAGCAGATTATCAGCAGCAACATCATCATGAACATCAGCAGCACAGTCACCATCACCATCATAAACATCATCAGCATCATCATCATCGTCATCATCATCATCAGCGTCATCATCGTCAGCAGCAGCATCATCAGCATCAGCAGCAGCATCATCGTAAGCATCATAAACATCGCCAGCATCATCACCGGCAGCATCAGCATCAGCATCAACGTCATCGTCATCATCAGTATCACAATCCTCCTCCTCATCTACTATGTATCATCATCAGACTCATACCATACCCATCTACAACGTAGCAGTGTCATCTTCAGCATCATATACTCATCATCGCCATAAACATCAACCACATCATCATCATCAGCAGCAGCAGCATACACATCACCAGCATTAGCATCGCCGTCACTGTCACCGTCATCATTATAAAGATCGTCGTCTGCATGAACATCATCATCATCATCGCCATCACCACAATCACAACCAGCATTCATGATCAACCCCATGATCATAGTCAACATGCTCAGCATCACCATAGACCACATCATCATAAGCATCAGCATCGTCATCATAACCACCATCATCACCCTCACCACCAGCAAAATCATCGTCATCATAGTCATCATCACCAACATCATCAACACCACCACCACCATCATCATCAATATCACCGTCATCCCATCCATCTAGCATCGGCCATCAGCCGCATCGTCACCATCATCATCATCGTCGCCATCAGCATTATCATCGTCATCAGCATCATCAGCATCGTCATCAGCAGCAATTCAATCTACAATCTATCATCATCGCTGTTCTCGTCATCAGCATCATCATACTGATCGCCACCATAAGCATCATCAACATCATCACCTTCCTTACTCTCATCACCATCATCGTCACCATTAGCATCATCGTCATCATCAGACTTGCCATCATCATAATAACCACCACCAGCATAATCATCATCATCAACATCATCAGCATCATCAACATCACCTCATCATCACCACCATAAACAACATTGGCATCACCATCCGCGTCATCGTCATCATCATCGTCAACAACAACATCGTCATCATCATTAGCATACCCATGACCAAAATCTACCATCCGTCATGAGCCGCATCATCACCGTCATCCTCATCATCAGCATCAACATCCTCACCATCGCCATCAGCATCATCGTCATCATCAGCATCATCGTCATCGGCATCATCAGCAGCAGCAGCGCCATCGGCACCATCTACAGCACATATGTCTATATGGTTCGTCATCATGCTCATCATCAGCATCGTCATACTCATCATCGCCATCATCATCCTCATTATCATCATCATCATCATCAGCAGCGTCAGCATGACCATCATCATCAATATGATCGCCAGCACCGCCACCGTCGTCATTGTCAGAATCGTCGTCACCATGATCATCATCGGCAGCATTGCCATCATCAACATCATCATCTTCATCATCGCCATCATATCATCAACATCATCATCATCATCATCATCATCATCATCATCATCATGATCATCATCATCATCATCAGAATCAGCATCGTCATTATCATCATCATCATCATCATCATCATCATCATCATCATCATCATCATCATCCCCATCCCATACCCAGTCCCAGGATCGCCCGCAGGAGCTCCAAGAGGCCCCCAAGGCGGGACGCGAGAAGACCCCAAGAAGGTCCCAAGCTGGCTCGGGAAGCTCCAAGACGGCACCAAGGCTTGCCCAGTCTCAGACGTCCCCGAGATGGTTCAACCAAGCCTTTTCGGAAGGGCTCAGTGAGCCCATCTCGCTCAAGATGGCCAGTAGAGACCCTCTACGAGCCCCTAAGGAACCCCTAACCGACTCTCAAGAGACCCCGATCATTGCCCCGAGAGGCCTCCAGCATGCTCCAAAGATCTCTCCAAGAAACCTCCAAAATGCTTTACAACAGGAGGACGGAACAAGGTAGAAGAAGAAAAAGGAGGACGGAAGAGAACGAGGCTGCTCACAAGGAGGGATGTTCAAGACACGCGGCAGCTTAAACAGGTTACTGAACTGGAGCGGGGCTAAAACTCAACCTTCTTCCTGCTGCGCTGCTGCGCCGGCACGGTGGTGGGGTTTCCCGCAGGCAGCTGAATATCACACTGAGCGTGTATTCAATCCACTAGAAGCCCCTAGTTGCAGCATGATTTTCTCAGCATTCTCGCTACGGATGCTCAGTCTCAGCGAGCCACGACAGGTGCCACGAGTATCTCTACTGACCAGCTCACGTGTCCCTCAGGACGTCTGGCTTTCTTGCTTGCTTGCGTCGGCGCGATCTGAAGTTGAGCCCGCGAATGTTTACGGTCCCCGCAGCGTCGGAGGTCCGTCCCAGAGAGGGGTCGCCGAAGGAGGGAGCGCTGGCAGCGACATGAGGCAAGAGGGTAACTCCGTCGTCGTCATGCCCACGTCCAGCCCGTTCCTCCCACAAGGATCCGCCCTCGCTCTCGTCTGGGTCTGGTAAGAGATGTTCAGACCAGGAGCCGCTCCTCTCGGATCAGACCCTCGATTTGCATCCTCAAGCACCTCCCACCCCCTTTCCAGCGCTGCGTTGGGGACAGAGGCTGAAAGCTGCCTCAGCCCCCCACCCCCAATCCCCATTGAGCACGGGGGGAATATGTGGTGGCAACTTCACTTCTCCCCCATCAAGCGGGTGGTTAAGTACGGCGACGGACCCTCGAGGGCCAAACAAAGCAACAACGCTCTCGAGGACGAAAAGGCGATCCTGACTTCCCCCAGAGTTCGCCCCGCTCAATGGCCCATCCCAGTCCTGCGTGGAATTCTCCAGGCGTGTCGGCGTGGCTGGCTGCCCAGACCAGGGAGCGACTTAGGGCCATGGCGAAACGAATAAAGTGGGGAGACCAGAACAGCACAGGCTGGGACATCCCAATTTAGAAAAGGTAGACTTCGAACACAACATAACAGGCCAATCGACGCCATGCCATCTGCGAATCGTGCGCCTGCACCTCTGGCATAATGTGCTTCCCATCTTACTCGTCGCATAGACCGTACTTCCTACAATTGTCACTGTTTCTGCGCAACTTGAACGAACTGGCAAAGTGCTAGAAAGGATGAAATGAACGCACTTCCTTCCCTCCTTGCAAAATCACTCAGACCCAAATCTCTCCAGGTGAACCATGCTCACGAGCTCATCTAGCTGAGTCCAGCCGTGCCGGCCATGAGTCCCCTCGAGGACTGGGGAAAATAACCTGACCTGCCAACCGCAAGGACCAACGAAATGGGTTTCTATCATGCCGGCACGTTTTGTCGGCACCCGTGAAGGAACGGCGCGGCGGTGAAGTGGAGCGATTGCCAATTCATCCCGCATTAGTTGCGACCGATACAAGAGGACAGAGGCGTGGAATGGCGGCCGCCATTGACGCCCTGCCATCATGCTACGAAGGCTCTGCCTGAGCAGTCCCTCTTCCAAGACCAATTCCTTCTAGGAGTGGCGGGCCGGGAACCTTGCGAGAGGGTGCGCGGGCACTTTCTTCGATCCGCCCATACCTTCCTCAGCTGCTATGCTCCTCCACGATAAAAAAAAAAGAAACAAAATGGCTCCCAGGCGGCTTGCCACGCGGCTCCCGGTGTCCGAAGAACCGTCGGGACTGCCGACGCGACTGCTGGTGGCGACGCGTTGCTGCCGCCGGATGTGCTCCAGGCTCGAGCACTCCTTCGAGGCTGCCGGGGAAGGTACGGTCACTCTTTCGCTGGAGACGGGCAGAGAAGGCGGCAGGGAAATAAACCCCCTCTACCACATTTCCCCCCGCCCTCCCCCTGGGAGTTTCCTTTCCCAAGTTCCATCTCATGAACTGCCTGCCCCCTGTTCCCGCCTTCCCCCCTTGCCCCGCCTTACCCAATGCTCCCACCTTGCCCGCGTCCCATCACGAACACATTGTACCCGTCATTCCTCCGCTGCCTGCGGGCGAAAATGCTGGGCAAGAATGTGCAAAACGGAACCCGCACATTGGGGGTCTGACCAACTTTCTCCGGAACTCGCTCTGCTTGTCGCCCTCGACCGATGGCACGATGTTGCCTTGTGTATGAATGCTCGACGGTTGGCGCCCTGCGGCTCCTTCTTCTGTCGCAACCGGCCGTTGGCGCGCTGGTGCCTGGGGCGTTTGTGCCCTACGGTTGGTGCCGCGTGGTTCCCTGTTTGTCGCCGCCAGACGTTGGCAGGACATTGCCCTGTGCGTGGGTGCCCCGCGGAGAATACCATACGGATCCATGCTTGCCGCAGTCGGCAGCTGGAACGCTGGTGCCCCACTGCCCTGTTACCAGTCAATGCCTTATGGTTGATGCCGTGCGTTTGCTCCTTTTCGATGCACCCACCAATGGAACATTCCAGATAATCTGGTGTATACATTCTGGTTGGCGCCGTGTGATTAGTGGCCTGTGGCCTGCTGGTTGCTGGGTGTTTGGTCGTTACTGTATTATGGTTCGTATGGATCGTCCCATACATTCCTAAAAAAAAAAAAGGGCTCGTGTTTTCCCAACCAACCGGCAACTGCCCCCTTCCTACTCAAGAGAAGTATGCGCACACACACACACACACCACGATTATAAACAAAAACAATAATGTTCAATTGTCCTTCCCGCGCGCGTCGTCGCGCGCATCGCCAAAATCACTCAATAACATTAGATGTCGAAGAAAACTATATCGAGTGAATGTTGCGGAAACAAATAAACATGTGGTTTCGCAACACGGAGTGTTTCCTATAACTAAAAGAAGTGCGTTCGCGCTTTCTCACATTCCTAAGGGCTCCACACATGTTTTCAACATGTTCACAACGCGATGTCAATCGAGGCCCTCCAGTGCGCATGTCGAAATGGCCCGGGCACCCTCGCGTGCGCTACCGCAAGAATCCGCTGCACAACAAAAAGCACGGGGCGAAGTGCACGCGCGCGCGTCGCCGCGCGCATGCCGAAATATTGCAACAAAAAAAACGGGCTCTCGCAAAGAGCTCAAACACGAAATCCCCGAACAAATATGAAACTGCACTGGCGGCGCGCCGAACCCCTGCGCAACGCGCGGAAATAATAGTTCGGTAGAATTTATCGACGGTGGGCATGTGACCATATATATATATGTGCGAACGGCATCCGGGAGGCTCGAAGGACACCGATCAGGGGACAACAGTTTGGTAGAGATGACGCGCTCGTTCTCTGAACCGGCGAAAAATAAATAGGGGCGAAGCCTCAAGAGGAGAAGGTGAACGGGGAGTTTGACGCGTCGGTGGGGCAAGGGAAAGGGCACGGCATCTGGAGGGAGAGGACATGACGATGAGAGGGGCCAGTGAATGGAGAGACTACGTTTCGAGGCACGCCAGCAAACAGGCACAGTCAGCGCAATAACTGCGCGAGGCCGAGCAGCTCTGCCAGCTGCCGGGCCTTTCCGGCCCCGGTAACCTTGTTGTTTGTAACGAGCCGCCAACTGTTCCTCGGACCACTGCTCCGTCAGCGCCTTCTTCACTTCCTCGTAAAGATGGGAGTTGCCATGCCTGCCAGACGTTTCCAGCACCGCGGCCTGCTCGGACGGGCCCAGGCCCGTCCCGTCCAGGAGAATCGGCAACAGGATGATCTCGTGCATGAACCCAGTCGTTGGAATGTCCTCGCACGCGGCGTGGAGCGCCTTCCCAAACTTGCTGAGATGGATGTCGAACCAGCGCTTGGGCCCTTCGCCTGGCTGTCGGTGCCTGGCTGTCGGTGCACTTCTTTCAGGTACTCACGCCACTTGGCCACTGCTTCCTGCGCCGCCGCTGCACCTCCGATGCCTTTGAGCGCCTCGACCACCTCCTCGGCTCCAACCTCTTGCACCAGGTCCTCTAAGCTCACCTTTCTTGCTTCGTGCCATTGATGTGAGTCGTCGTCCATCGCCTACATCAGTCGCGACCCCAAGTAGATCCGAACCTCTTTCTTCGCGCCAAAGACCCAAGGCTTCACCTTCTCTTCGAAACTCTCGAGTGTCGACGCCTCTCCATTCCAATTCGGGATCCGCATCCAGCTCCTGCCACGTCTGATGTCATAAATCGGATGGAGATGAGAATGAACTGCTCGAAGTGGGATGTCAAACCCCTCGCTACCAATGTCAGTGGAACGCGTTATCCACGGATCTTTCAGCCTTTCACATCGAAATACCCTCGCTACACGCCCAGGCACTGGTCTCTTCCAGGAGGCATGCGGAGTCGTAGGCCCACGAGAGCTGGGACTACATCCTCGACTGAAAGGAAATGTCGCGAGTGAGAAAGAACCCCCTTGTGACAGAATACCCAGGACATCGCGATATCAGCGCAGGCCCCCCTGAGCTTCGGACCTCAGTGCACGTCTGGACTGGCTCCAGGCTCACATCCGGCCCGGCCCAGATGGCTGCGGGACGGGCGCAGGCGTGAAACTCTCGCTCGACGTTGGTTGACACCGTCACAAATCTGGGCTCCGAGATTTGCCCTGCCGAGGCCCACGAAGCTGCCCCCCCCTCGTTGTTTCGTTTTCCTTCTGGGGGGGCTTGATGTGTCAGAGGGGCACTTTTTCCGGCCTCTGGGAGGGCCTCTTACTGGCGCCCCTCACCAAGATCGCGGCCCCCGATGGGGGGAGCTACATTTAGGGCCCCCCTCCTCCGACCGACCGACTCCCAGATGGCACCCAGGCCCCCCCGGGGCGCCCAGCAGGCCCCCAATAGGGCCCCAAGAGCTCCCCAAGAGGCCCCAAGAGGCCTCCAGGGGGCACCCGAGAGCCACCAAGGAGGCCACCGAGCGGCCCCAGAGAGCCCTAGGTGACCTCCTGAATGGCTCGAGATAGCCCAAGCTGGCTCAAGGCGGCCTCCAAGAGCAAGGGCATGGCCCCAACGCGCCGTCCAGGCCAGCCCCCCATCGCTGTTTGACTATGCGCGCCTCCCTCCCCCCGTCAGCTCTCATGAGCATCGTTTCTGAATGGGCCTGAGGGGATGCGCGAAGCGTCGGTAATAAAATCCGGACGCGCATAGACAGGGTGTTCGAGTAAACCGCCAAACGCCAAAGATTGATAACAAAATTGCCCGTGGCCAGGTAACAGTAGGCCAGTGCCCATGCTGGCTCTCATGCCGCATCCACCAGCCCGAGATGGGCCAGGCCCAGCAAAAGCTGCCCGTTTGCCCCTGCGAGGCGCGCGCAGCTTTACCTCGAGGCAGGATGCCCGCCATCACTTACAAACATAAGTCGCGATGCAATCGGCCGTCGACGGCAAGTACTGTCATGATGCATAGACCACCGATGTCTAGTGGTTGCTTGAGTTGCGTCGGGGTAAATGGTCCAGCCTTTATCTCGTGCAGCGTCGCGACGGTTGGGTAACGGTCATCCAAATTGCAGGCTGCTGCTCGGGTCTCAGCGGGATATGTGGAACGCGCTAATAATCCATGTGGCCTACAATGCGTGCGCATCTATAGGTGGACAAACGCCTTCCCGATGTGCGAGTGTCCACGCAATAATGGTTTGGCACCTCGGACGCCGTGCCCCTCAAATTCGTCGCCGGCATCGCCGTTGAGACTACGGCAACCGAAGTCGCTGCGTTGGTCCACCACTCCCGTTGGAAGCACTGCAGCTCCCGCGCTGGAGCGCTTAATCGTAACACTTGTATGTTGGTCGGTTATTGGACACGTCGTAGAAAGACCGAGTGCACTATTGACCGCGCCTGGGTTATTTGTGTCGCGCGCTAGCGCACCACGAAAGCCGATGAATATTCCTGACACAGCTTGCATTGCAATTGCTTCTGCCTCTGCCCAAGTCAGTTCTGGAGTTTGCACGGGGCGGGTTTGACGACTCCACTTGCATTGGCCACCCTGGGCGCGGCCGTTCTCAGCACCGGAGCATCGCGCGGCGCAGTTCGCGTAGCCGCGCTCGTTGAACATACAAGCGCCGAGCGCACCTGCTACACGTATCGCGCACCTGTCACTGAAGCCCCCGCTCCTGTCGCATTTCTACCGTTTACGCGCTCGGCTGCAAAGGGGCCCGGGACCCACTCGAACCATCGGTCGCAGGAGATCGGCATAAAAACAAAATCTCGAATCATGCTCCGGAGCTTCAGCGAGGACACCCCCAGGGGAGTTTTCTGCGCCCCCCCCTGGCTTTAAGCACTGCAAGCAGGCTCGGGCTTCGCCATGCGACCCAATCCCCGGCGGCTCCCGTAGCATCGAAGCTGAGCCAGGTGGCAACGCGCAGCGTGCCACGCGTTGTTGCTCACCAATGGCTGTAGCCAACTCACGATGCGTCGGGCCCGTCTATGACAGCGACTTGCATGCCCATGGACGCAATGACCCAGGACGTCTTGCACGGGGCCGCTCTTGCGAGTAGTCTCCGACGCGCCCGCCTAGCGCCCAACGAGACATCCGCACCGAAGGTCTCGACATAAATGAGACGGCGAAGTACGAGGCGCAGCCGAACCGCGCGATCCATCTCGCCCTGTTCGTTCGTCGCGGATTCTCATTTCGCCACGATGACCGGCGCGTTCATAATTTCCTGCGTCTCGCAACAGCTGTTGTCGGACCGCGACGCACGCGCAACGCGCGGAGGCGTGGACATGTTGACAGGGCTTGCCAGCTATTCTACCTTCGCGAGGAAGTCGCCATCCTTGGAAACGACAGCCACCTTTGACGCAGAAGACACGCACGCGCGCATCTTATTTACACGGCCGTCGCCCAATAGT